GGGGGTGGGGTGGTGGGTGATCGGTGGTGGGAGAGCCAAAGGAGGTTAACTGGAAAAATTAAGTCCTTCTTGGGTGAGCCGTAATCCTGCTACTGCACTCCAGCCTGGGCGATGGAGTAAACAGACAACTTGTACAAGAATCCATTAAGTGGAATTACAGAAAAAGGTCCCATCTCAGCAGTTAACAAAAATGTTTTTCTTTTTTTTTTTTTGATTGGAGTCTCACTCTTGCCACCCAGGCTGGAGTGCACATGTTCACAGTCACCACAGCCTCGACCTGCTGGGCTCAGGTGATCCTTTCGCCTCAGCCTTCCAAGTAGCTGGAACTACAGAATCATGCCACCATGTCCAGCTAGTTTTTTTGTGGTTTATTGTAGAGATGAGGTCTCACCAAGTTGTCCAGGCTGGTCTTGAACCCCCGGGCTCAGGCAATCCTCTCGCTTCTGCCTCCCAAAATGCTGGGATTATAGGCTGAGCCACCGCGCCCAGCCAACAAAAATCTGATAAAGAAAAAAGAGCTCAACAAATTTTATACCTAATAAATCAGCAAAAATGGTAATTATAAACTACCCAATGTAACCAGCAGAATTCACAGGAAGGGTGATAGTGTAAGTTATTATAACCCTATTGAAAAACAACACAGCAACATTTCAAGAGTCATAAAAATATCCATACAACAATCCTTTACATCAATCCTAAAAGAAGTTAAAAGAAATACTGTACATAGATAATACTTGTAGCAGAATACTGAAAAACTAGAAAACCTACATGGTCAAGCATTACAAAACTGCAATTAAAGATAAAACAGCTTGATGGGATATTTTCAGACATTAAAATTATTATGGAGACCATGCTGAATGCTTGTTATGTTAAAGGAACAAAGAACAAAAATTACTCTGAGACTAAATAAAGAATATGCTTATAGACAAAGAAGAAGGAAATTTTAATCTGTCAGAGTGAGATTAAAAATGATTTTCTTTTTTTTTTGGTTTAGTTCCACTGTGATTTGTAAAATATGATGACAAAAAAAAAAATCCTCAATTTCTGCTAACACCCTACCTTTTAAGACTCTCTGGAAACCTATAGTAACCTTAAAGGATTCTAATATGCAGCTAGTCCTAGAAACATTGACAGGCTAGCCCCACACAATTTTCTCAATATAGTCTTCAGTCAGTCACCCTTTCTGAACTGGTTTCTCTGTCCCAAATATAGATTTCCTTATACTCTTGCTCACAACCTTCCATCCAATTAGAATGCCTTCCTTTCTTCTAATTTTAGTGATTACAGCTTGCTACCCTTGAAAAGCCTTCAATAACTACTATATACATTTATTTCTGCTCCGCTTTCTAAAGCAATTTGTCTTTAAAAAACAAAACTAACAAATAGCACTAGATTTGATTGTTTACAAAACTGTGACAAATCTATTATTATTGGAGCCGTTATTTAAATCTTTAGATAAAATTACATAAATTGCTCACAGCTTTTGAAATAACAAATTAACTTTCCACATGTTTAATTGTATTCTTCCTTTTATTAACAGTAAGCTTCTTGAGCACAGACCCTTGTAGGAAAGCCATCAAGTAACGTGTATCTGCTTTAATCCAAATCCTAAAATAAGCTGTCGTTCTAGTTTGAATATATGTGAAAGAAAACCATTATCTACAACTCTATGTGGCCATAATATCAGCAGTGAAATCTAATAGGACAAAAGACAACATAGAGACTGTAATTTTCTGTTGGTTACCAATAATATATGTTACTTTCCAAAAATAATAGGAAAGCAGCCACATGCAACACAATAATCAGTTCTGCTTAATATATACTGCATGAACAGAAATATCTGCACACAAGTGAATAAATTCAAGCAATTTTCAAAAGACTCACACGCACACATACACGAGTAACATGACCAATTTTGATTATTTAAGGGTAGTTACATAAAATTACATACCAGAAACAGAGTTTTCAATAGACTGCAGATCCAGGTCTTCTAAAACTGGAACACCTTGCTTCATGTTACCACAAGGTCAGTCTTATTCTAAAAAACAAAAACTTAATTTTGAGTATGTTATGGTTCAGACATTCAGAATAAACGACTGATTAAAAATAAAAAGAAACAAAAAAACCTTTACTTCGCTCCTAAACATTTTCACTGGTAAGAGCTCTCTCCAAAAAAATCTCCTCATTTTGAGATTTTTTTTTTGGGAGTCAGAGTCTCACTCTGTCGCTCAGACTGGAGTGCAGTGGCCGCTCCCGACCACCGCAGCCTCAACCTGTTGGGCTCCGGAGATCCTTCTGCCTCAGCCTTCCAAGTAGCTGGAACTACAGGTGCGCACTACCACGCCCGGCTAATTTTTTTGATTTATTGTAGAAATGAGGTCTCGCCAAGTTGCCCAGGCGGGTCTTGAATCAACAGTTTCAAGACTTCAGCCTTCCAAAGTGCTGGGATTATAGGTGTAAGGCACTGCACCCAGCCCCTTCTTTCAGTATAGCTTTATATCACAGAAACAATAAAAATTTGACAATTATGACTCATTAGTTTGGACTCATTGAGATAAGTTACAGAAATACAATTCTATCATAATTTCATTCATTTATACCAAAGAGATGGTCTAGTAATTGTTAATATTCATCTACATTTAACTTCCATTAAGATAACATAAAATTGTTAAAAAAGGATTGAGGAATTATAAAAAGTCTTAAAAATTAGTACTCTGATACATTCTTAATGGAGTGCTAAATCTACGTTTTATTAACAATTACAAATCAATTCAGTATTAAATTAAATATTTGGAATATTAAAAATTTGAAGGTTAAACAGCAACTATGAAACAATACTAATTTTCAGAAAAGAATTACTGTTAAAAGCCATACATTGGCTTTTTTCACAGATTTTGTATATAAATGTGCATAGATTCATTAATATTTATACTTATCAGGTAGAAGAAGATAACAATGATTAAAACAGTTGCTGCCTGTCAGAGTCTCAAATGAGAAGAGCCAAAAACTGCAAAGAAAGCGTGGTGAGTCTCATGTAAAGGGTCCTATGAGGCTAAAAAAGCACTAAGGGCATAAATGCACACTAAGGATGGAAAAATGTTAGAAAGGGCCACAGGGAAACACAAAGTCGTTAAACTCAGCTAAATATATATACTATAAAAACAATTTGTTCTTAGTATTGCTAAAGTCACTTTCGTGTAATAAAATGTTTCACTATATAAATGCCCACCTGCTCTAAAGTGAAAAAAGCAGTCTAAAAAAAAAAAATCACTACTAATGTCCAAGAAAAATCCCCCAATTATTTTACTGTATCTATAACTAAAGACTGTGATATTTCTACCTGAATACATAGAAATCCAGGAGAGACATTCAAAAATAAAGCTAAAGAAAAACCAGAAAAACCAGGTAAAGGCTCGCACTTGTAATGCCAACACTTGCGGAGACCCAGGTGAGGGAACTGCCTGAGCCCAAGGATTCAAGACCAGCCTGGGCAACTCCATCTCTACAATAATCAAAAAATAAACCAGGTGTGGTGGCACATGCCTGTAGTTCCATCGACTTGGAAGGCTGAGGCAGAAGGATCACCTGAGCCCAGCACGTCAAGGCTGCGGTGGCCATGAGCATGCCACTGCACTCCAGCCTGGCAACAGAGTTAGACTCCAGTTGAAAGAAAGGAAGGAAAGGAAGGAAGAAAGACAAACCAGAAAACTGGGGGACAAAGCAATTAAAAGGACAATAAATCAAAGTGCTGTAAAAGAAAGGTTTTTTGACAGACAACTGTGCAAGTAGTAAAAGTCCTAAATATATCCTTCAGACTTTTATTTCCAATTCCAGGAATTTACTCCAAAGAAATAATCAGGGATGTGAAGAATATCTAGATACTTAGAAATTTTAGTGGCTGATGTTCTTAGGTACAATATTTTGCAAAACATGTACAAGGATGCTCACTGACATAATAGTGCTATCATAGAAAAATAAGTAGGCTATATAAATTATGGTACACCTACATTATAAAACACTATAAAGATATGAAAGACACTTTGTGAACAAAACATTTCCAATGTTTCAAATGTTTTCCCAAAGACAAAAGCACAGGTAACAAATGAGCACAACTAGAATAATATTTTGTAAAACAAAAACCAACAAAAAAGACAGCACCCTCTGTATAATATATCCGTACAGTATAAGATGTGATTATCTTTTGGTGGAGGAAATGTAAGGGATTTTTGTTTTCTTCTTTGGGCTTTTCAGCAATTTCCAGATGCCCACTGACACGGATTATTTGGATCACAATCAGATAATGAGTTTAAAGTTCAGTAGTGCAGCTGGGCATGGTAGCTCTCGCCTGTTATCCCAGTACTTGGGGAGGCGGAAGCGAGACGGTTCAAGACCAACCTGGGAAACTTGGCAAGACCTTGTCTCTACCAAAAAAAAAAAATTTAGCTGGGCATGGAGGCGAGCACCTGTGGTTCCAGCTACTTGGAAGGCTGAGGCAGGAGGAATGCCTGAGCCCAGGAGGCTGAGGCTGCGATGGCTATGAGCTTGCCACTGCACTCCAGTCTGGGTGACAGTGAGACTCTGACTGGAAAAAATAATTCAGTAGTGGAAGTACAGATGATTACCTCCTGGAAAGTTAGTTTAGTAATATTATATTGTTTGTTTTATAAGGTCCTTAAGAACACTGCCTCACTCCTAAACACTCTCATTAACAAGATTGCTTCTATATGAGAAATTTTTAAATCAGGAAGAAAAAAAACTCACAAAAATATTAAAAATGTTTCAAAACAAAAATGTTAACTCAAAAATCCAGAAATGAGAATATGAATGAGTAAACAAATCCATAAGGATGTTCTACTTTTGGGATTTCATTCTAAAATATAATACCCAGAAGCTAATTATATGGATTCATTTGCATCCTTGACCAAACAAAACATCTTCCAACTACCATTCTAGTATTTATTTATGATCCACTGAAATGTTTTCCAGGTGGTTCTCCACCCTAACTCTAATAATTTTTACAGACATTAGGACTCACCTCAGTAATACTTTGGGATATCTGTCACCAAGATGTTCTATTTTCTTCAGCAAAACTGCCAAAAAATCCAATAAACTGTTAAATCACTCAACGATTTTCTAGTCTTGAGCCCCACCAAATAGAGGAATGCGGTTTAAAATGGAAGTTTTGAGGATCATTATAAACATCTAACCTGTGTGACTAGGTCATTCACTAGGAATACCAGCATACATTTCACGTTCTTAGTAAGTTTGAGCAAAATCACTGTTATGAACAAAAAATGGATTCTGCTTTAGTTAAGAAGATATCCTCTTGCTGAGAAAATGTAGCCCACGTGGATCATCGACGATCTCTCACAATTAAAAAATTATATCATTCTTTAATACATTCAATTTAAATTCCAATTCAACTAGTTAAAATGTCAGTTTTTGTTTCCTTTAACAGAAGGGAGGTCCTTTTATCTAAGATGTTTCCAGTCCCTGCAAAACCACTGCAATTTCCTTTCAAAAAGTAGCACAAGCCTCATATACAGTGACACAGATGCTAGTCTAAGGTCACAGTAGCGGCGTCTGTGCTGGCAGATCTCACAGCCTGATCGCGCGAGGAGCACGCGCAAACACCTCTCCCCACGCAGGGCGTTCCTAGGAACCCTGTCTTCTCCGTCTTAACTGAGGAGGCTCCCATAGCTGGCGCCGCTCGGTGAACATGGCAAGTGCCCGAAATGTACTTCCAAAAGGAGGAAGAGGAGCAGAGCCCAGAAAACCTCTCAGGTTCTCCAGAGGAACCCAAAGGATCACCTCCAGGAAAGACGAGAGCTTGTCCTCTGCCTTTCTCTTCCTCTCGGCGGGAGAGGAAGCCTCGCCCCCTTTCATCCCGCCCCTCACAACCCACCCCGCCGCAGGGAGAACTTACTTTGCCATGGCCGCCAGCGGCCCCTTCACTTCCGGTGCCGGTGCCGCTAGAGCTGCGCCATCCCCCCCGTCAACTGGACAACCGTAGCCTCCAACTGACCTTCTTGACAGCTCTGCGACTTCTCCGATTAGAACTAGGTGCTGTCCTGGAGGGCATGGTGGACGGGTGCCGCACTAAACAAATCTACCTGATAAGGACTCCACTCCCTTCACGCCACAAACACAAAATGCGATAGAGCTGCGGCCACCGCTGCCCAGACAAAATGGCGCCGAGAAGTTGTTTAGCGCAGGCGCCTTGGAAAGACCTTGCCCCGCCCCCACGCAAGCCTCTGGCTGCAGCTCTGGGTTCCGTTTCCATGGGACACTCCGCCGCCAATCCTCATGCCGAACTGCTCTTCCTGACCCCGCAATCCACCAATCAGTCCTCAGCCAGGCACATCCGGAGTCGTCTCCACCAATCATGTCTCAGGACTTCCTTACTCGATACCTGACTGTCCAATCACGTTGGTCTTCGGAGACAGCCAATCATAAGTGGAAGATGTCCTACCTGCTGTTTTCCGCACCAATCCATGAAGTTTCAGAGCTACATCCAATGAGGACGGCAGGTAGCGAGGCCCAATCCGAAGCTCTTCAGCGTCATGAGCAGCCAATAGGAGTTCGTGTAGAAGCGAGTCTGCTCAACAGCTTGTTATTTGGTGGATTGTGGCAGTAAATCGGGGCGAGTGGGGAACCGGGCGCAGGAACTGCCGTCGCGGCCAGGAGTGGTGCTGCCCGGAGGGGGGCCCACGGGGGCCGGTGGGGCGGAGGACTCAGGAGCTGACAGCGCGCACTTCACCTGCAGTTGTTAGGTGGGGAGAAGGGAAGCGGGGGGTACTGAATGGGCGAAGCGGCAGTAGCAGCTGGTGCTGCTGCCCGGGGTCCCGGTGCAGTTGGAAGCTTTGGAGGTGGAGCTGGGGATGCCAGGCGAGTGGTGCAGCGAGCGCAGGGGAAGGGGCTGGTCGCGGAGCAGCGGCAGCAACTGCAGGCACCGCCGCGGCGGCCGCCTCCTCGCCCGCTTCCCCGGGTTCCCCGGGAAAATGGCTGTGGGGCTGGCTGCGCCGCTAAGTTTGCTTCCGCGCAGTGAGGAGTGGGCTGCTTGGAGGAGCTGGCCCCCAACTCCGGGGCGCGTCCTCCCGGGTGGAGTCAG